TCAAGACAGAGAAGTCACTGTTAGTGAGTGTTAACAGTGGCAAAAGATATTAGCACGGCCTTGAGAGGGACTGCATCAGTCACGTGAGGAACTGAGAATGAGTATGAAGGGACTTTGGGACTTGGGAAACTCCGGTGACAAAACAGTGCTATTATCTAGTGCCAAGCGGGTCATGCACAGCACAGGAAGCCACGTACTTGTGAGCTGTCCTCACCTTGGGCCGGTAAGGTGGGGGCGGAGGCAGCTGTTGGCCTGACGGAGCCGCAGGGTCTGCCGAGTCCGCTAGAGCAGAGGACAAGATGGACTCGTCTGAGCGGACTCGCATCATGGAGGCCGAGCGCAGCATGACCTCGGAATAGGGCTCGTAGCTTCCAGTGAGACTCTGCGTGGAAGCAGAGTATCCAGAAGGCGCGGAGGACAGGGACGACGACGCCAAGGACTGCTGCGAGAAGTAGCGTCCCCGCGCCATGGACGAATAGCCGGAGGACGAGCCGGGGTGCTGCGAGGTGAGGCTCTGGTACGACGGGTACGACGACAGCAGGGACGCGCTTCCTCCGCCCGTGATGACGCCGCTGCCGCTGCCGCCGCTGCAGCTGCTCAGGGTGCCCGCGACGTTCGGCGACGACCTGTATAAGGGCGAGAGCTTGCGCGTGCGGTACGGCGGCGGGGGATGCAGGTAGGCGAAGCTGCTGCTGCTACTCCCGGCATGCTGCTGCTGCTGCGCCTGCGTGGCGATCACCTGGCCTTGCTTGGCATCCATGTACTCCTGGCGGCTGAGGGCAGGATCCTTCATGGGGTAGATGACGTAATCCACGTCCGAGTAGAGCTGAGCTTTGAACTGTTCGATTTGGCTCAAGCTCACTTGGTTGGTGTAGACCGTGGCCAGCGACTGGTGAGTCTGGAACGTTCCGGGGTCGCTGGCGCACTGGTACGTCGGCGACGCGGCCTCCAGCGCCACCTGGTAGCCGCTGCCGCCAGGACCCGCACCGACGCCGTAGCCGTGGTGCGGCGATGGAGGCGGAGGATTCTGAAAGAAGTTCTTGATATATGGCTGATACAAGTAGTTTTGCTGAGGTTGCTGCTGCTGATGTTGCTGTTGCTGTTGCTGTTGTTGCTGCTGTTGTTGTTGTTGATGATGGTGGTGCTGCTGCTGAGCTTGTACGAGGCTATGGACGGGTTGCTGAATACTAAGAGAATGAGCCTGCTGTTGTTGGAAGCCAGTGTACGTGGGTGACGGCAGCAGTGGCACTCCAACGCCTTGTGCATAAGCTGCTGGTTGGTAGACCGTTTCACTGCTGATACGTTGTTGCAACTGCTGAATTTGCTGCTGCTGTTTGAGCTGTTGTTGTTGCAAGGCTTTCTGTTGGTGTCTGAGGTAGAGACTCCTTGGCGTGACGGTCGGATGCTGCTCCGGGTGCACGCGCGCCTTGCTCTTGTTCATGGACGCGGAGGCGCGCACGTCAAGGTAGTTGTTCTTCCTGATCACAGGCACTTCAGCGCCGCCGGGCCCCGCCAGAGCCTTGACTTTGTTGGAGCGGTGGTCGCGCGCGTAGGGCGGCGGAAGGCCCAGCGGCCTCATCTCCGGAAGGTGCGCCGCCCCGCGCTGCAGTGATTGGACGGTGTCGATCTTGGGCCTCTGCTGGACCTGCGGCAGCGTGTGGACCATGCCTCTGCTAAGCGGCACCGACGTGAACGAGGGCGCTGCTGTCGCCGCCAGCTGCGTGTGTGCTTTCAGCACCGTAATCCGGGGTTTGGACGTGATAAATTTTGCCGGAGCCTCACTGGCACTGGCCACGGCCGTCTCGCAGATAACGGCGTCGGGCGTCGCCAGGGAGGACCTGTTGCTGTTCGGCTCACTAGTCCGGGGCAGGGATCCGTTCGGCGAGGCCGTGTTCACGCGCGAGGAGGCGATGGCCACCGGCGTGATGGTCGTGACGGTGGACATGGAGACCGGGGCTGGCGACGTTACCAAGAAGCGGGCGTCCGTTCCAGACACTTGCACGTAGTCGCTGTCCGTGTCAAAGGTGGACGACACGGAAGCACGCGGCCGAAAGGCGCCCAAGGAAATGGCGAGGGCGGGGGAGTAGGACGTCGAGAGGGACGCCTGAGCGCTTTCGACCGAGTAGTCCAGGTGCTCCTCCTCTTGCTGATCTGACAGAGGCGACGCTGCAGCCCCTTCAGCTGCCGTGGTCACCGGCTGCGCCCCGACCCTTTGCGTGACGAGCCCCTGAGCGCCTAGGCCTTGGGGGCTGAGGCGGTGGACGCTCGTGGGCGGCGTGAGACTGGACCTCTCCTCGGGCAGGTCCCTCCGCTCGAGCGGGCCGCCCGCCTGCTCCGGGAACCTCAGCCCGTCCTTGAAAAACTCCACGTAGTCGTCGTTATTGTCCAGCTGGCTGAAGTCTTCTTCGGAGAAGTTGTAGGTGGAGGTCACGGACTCGTCGAGGTCGGGCTGCACCATCACCGAGGTCTCGTCGCTGACGAAGGTGGGGCTGCCGAAGAAGTGTGTTGAGGCGCTGGCGGAGTCTAGGGAGTCGTTGTAGGTGTGCGGGCCGGCGTCCCCGCGCTGCGCCGCGACGCTCGAGTTTTCACTGTCCAACTTCTGGTGCAGGAAGCCCGCCGACGCCTGCTGCAAGATGCACATGGCGCAGGAGCCGCACTTGCAGTGCTGGTCGTCGGCCCCCTCCTCTGGATCGTCCGCGGACGTGATGGAGGCGTTGTCGTCGTCACAGCAGGTGGAGCAGCAGTTGTGCTGGGTGTGGGGCATGCCCGCGCACAGCTCGCTCTCCTCGCCCCCGGCTCGCCCCGACCGGTCGGCCGCCATGCCCGGCAGATCGGCCAGGTCGGGGAGGTCCTGGGCGAGCGACAGGTCCGCCAAGTCGGCCCCGAGGGTCAGATCTGGCGGCAGTCTGTGGGGAATGTTAGAGTACCTGGAGCGGACGGTGGAGGCGGAGTGCTGCGAGGACGAGGAGTGCACGCTGCCTGCGGCCAGGGAGACCCCCTGCCTGCCTCGCTGCCGCAGAGGCCCACGCCGTCCCGGACTCGCCCCCCGGAGGGTGGGGTCGATGACGGCGGAGTGAACGACGGTCTGCTTAGGCTCTCCTCATCTGTGCGGCACGAGGCGTTATGTCACTGACTTATAAATAGACGCTTGCAGATTAAAAGACCTGCACATTTGGTTTAGCAGATGTATTCATACACAAATAATTTCGGTTTGTGCATTGTGATACTTACAGTAGTGCTGTAATATAAAAAAATGACACACAACAAGAAAGGAACCCAACTTACCATTCCATATCATCCATAAATATAATATCACACTAAATCTAAACTTCTTTTGTTCACAAACAGACACCAACCAGGAGAGAGCAGCACCTCTGTGCGAAAAGTGGAAATGAAAATGAACAAATCCGCAGAACGATTCTGCACCGCAGCATGGGTAATTCACGCTTCGATACCGTGTCGCCATCAGGAGAATCTATCAGCTCTTTTTACTCTGAAGGAGCTACGCTACCGAAACAGCACCCATCCACCTCGAATTGTAGAAAGACCCGCCTCATCAAGCACATTTTCCTCCATTCACATCGACTGCGCTCTCTCCAGCCGCGTCTCTGGCAGCGGTCGCAGTGAACCAAGTAGTGACTAAAGACATCCTCCACTCACCATAGTCCGGGGTGTGAGCGTGAGTGCTACTCGACGAGGAATCGAGGCGCGAGAGGGACCTGGTCAGGGACTCGACGCCGCTCTCAATACTGGCGGCGGGGGGCGTGTTGACCAGCACCTCGGAGTCCAGATCATCTGTCAAACACGCGAGTCCTTAGTCGCTGGCTCTTAAATTCGTCTCTTGTGGTCCTTGAGACTAATATCAATGTCAATAATAATTTGTGGTTAATCTGACCTCTTAATCGAGATCATCTTTCAGTCACGCGGGGTTTAGTCTGTGACTATGTTGTGTGGTTAATGAGGATTAATAATCAGTTATGACACTATTTTGTAGAAAGCCATAGAGGAAAATTATTTTTTTGAATACGAGTAAGTTTCCAAAAAATGGGAAAAAATAAATTAGATACATTCCACTTTCCCTCTTACAAAAACATGTATCACAATGAAACTTCAGCCCCACGCAATATAGGGCGAGAAACTGTAAAGCCAATGAGATGAATCAACGAAGCCAAAGCCAGAGCCACCTTACCCTCACTGCCATCGAGGGAAAGCACGCGATCGGAGACGATGCCCGACGTGGTGTTCGAAGAGGTGTTCGAGATCACAGACACGCGTTGGTCGGCCGAAGTTTTGGCCAAGTATCCCCTCAGCCCGCCCAGGGTATCGGAGAGGCCGCCTATCTCCGAGACGTAACGGTCGCTGTAGATGTAACTGTCTCGGTAGCGCCTCCGATCTGCGAAGGAGAGACTTTGGTGATTAATTGTTGAAAATGACGGTGTTGAAAGGAAGACGCGAGAAATGCACAACTCTAAAATCATGAAATATTTCTTTTAAGTTCTAGCAATGGCAGGTGGCCAGTTGCATTACTTTATACGGTATCTAATTATGGTTACTTTATACTGTATCTAATTATGGTAAGTGCTTTACAAGTAGGATCTCTGCATATACTAATCTTCAACTATTTACGAATATTACTTTCTAATCAAAGGAGAATCTAACATTGGACACAATAATTTGCCAAAGTGAAACCACCCCAGCACGAAAAATAAATAAATATATAAATAAATAAAATAGTCATCCCCTAAAACACTACTCATCTATTACCATTAATTCATCTATCTAAAAAAAATCTATCATATATCAAGACAAACCAAAACACCAAACCCCGTCTCACCTTCTTCTTGAATCTGCCGGACCTCTGCAAGACGAGGTTGCAAGGCCAGGTTGAACAGGTGCGTGAGGCGACACAGGTACAACAGGTGTTTGCTCTTCTCGTCGCTGGTCGTGTAGAAGGTTAGTTTCCCCGGGTAACTGAGGGCGCGAATTTCAAACTTCTTTTT